AAACCTGACACTGGAGTTATTTTTTTCTACTACATATAACACATTGTCTCCCATTTCTTTTGTCCTTTTGAGATAGAAACTGTCTGATCTAGCTAAATATGGAGCAGATGCTGATCCTAGGAGAGCTTCTATTACAATTTTTCAAGAGAATTTTTCATATGGACATTATAAAGGTAAATGTTTTTTAAAAACATCACAAACACATTTAAGCCTTTTAAAATGCTAATAGACTGTTAATTTATTTGTCCAAAGAGAGCTTTTCACTTCAAGCAAATCTTGTAAATGTAGTATAACTTTGAGAAGAGAAATTGGTAGACCTCACATGAGAGTTGAAGAACTAAAATGGAAAGAAAATATATAATGCTAATATGAAGTTTTTTTCTACAGGCTATTTAATACTTTGTGAAGGTTATAAATGGAACACCAATTCTCTTTTATGCTGAAATAGTGGTAAGCAAACTTTGGATGGCCACAATTTCCCAAAGCCTTTTAGACAGTATGAACATTTTTACAAATTGTTCACTCCTGCCTCCTACTTTTCTTGTGAATGGTAAAGGATTTGTTTACTTTACAATGTCAAAACATAAGCATCTATACTGATATCGGACCCAGAGTGCAAATATTTTAAGAGATATTTCTAAAAATTATTAAATGATGCCATTTGTGAAATAGTAGAGCTTTAGATCAGAAAATATTTTGTAATTCATGAATAAAAAAGCAGCAAACACAGAAAAGTAACTAGAATAAATATATTAATGTCCAAATAAATTAAAGTTAACAGATACTTAAGAGTTCTTTCTTTATTAAAATTTTGCCTCATTTATTTTTCCTTTTCCTATAGTTGGATCAGCTTCTTTGGCTGGTTTTAATAAGTTGAATGTTGTTGCTTACTACATTACCATTTCTGTCATAGAAGCATTATGTTGAGTCTACTTTTCCAAGCTAATGTTGACAATTGTATTTATACTAATTATTTTACTTATGCATGCAAAATTCTCAACTTTAATATTTTAATTGCATCACTATTGCTGAGTATTGCTTTTATTAAACATTATAGACTGGCTCTGACTGGAAGCAGTTCTACACAAAGAAGTACATTCATTCATTCTAACAGCCTTTTCTCTGGCTGGTTTTTCTGTATTATCTGTTTAATCTAGGTTTTTCATGAAAGTAGGAAAGAAAAATTTATTGTTGCTAATCCCCATGCACAAAAATAACCACCTCAGCTGAACTATTTTTTTTACTTTTATATGTTTCAGTCTCATGCATGTAAATACTAATAGAAAGAACCAAGGAAGTTTTGCCATTTAAAAGTATGTAAATTTACTACGAGGGATAACAGACTTAACTACACATGATATATGATACTACGCATTTCCTGTAAACTTCAATTTCAACATAGATATTTGGTATACTTTTGTTGACTTCTAAAAAGTAAGTATCACTCCTGAGACATTTTTTTTCTCTGAGAGTATACTTTACTGAAAAGCCATGTGGGTACAGAAGTGGAAAAGCCAGTTCTAACATTTCACGTGTAAAACATAACATAAATTCATCTTTCCCCCCTCCCTGGTCCTCCCATGGTCCTTTATCCACCAATCTGTTGCACCTGGGATGTTTTGAGAACAATCTGTTTGCCTCTGACATTATCAGAGTTGGTGACTTTGGGGTGGAACTGTCTCATGTTTTCAAATGACAAACTTGCATTCCAGAGTTTCCCTCCCAAACCACCCTCACATTCCAATGCCTTCCCTCTCCCCTCCCATTATTGTTGTCTGGTCACGAGCACGCTGTGTAGAGTCAATCCTGACAGTAAGCAAGAATTGGCCTGATTAGTACTTGGAGAATATTCTAGAAAAACCTTAACTTGAAGAAGATATTATCTCTTCTAAAATGTGGAATGTCCTGGAAGTTGGACACTAGCTTAGTACTTGGAGAATATTCTAGAAAAACCTTAACTTGAAGAAGATATTATCTCTTCTAAAATGTGGAATGTCCTGGAAGTTGGACATTAGATAGAACTACAAGTCCACCAAGGTAACTGTTACAAATGACAACTATTCTAATATTTGTAATACAAAAATATATGTCATATAATTTCCTTACACAACATATTGCTGGTACAGAATGGACAGAATAGTTACAGGAAAGGCAGACTTTGGGCCCTAAGATGGCCCATATTATACTTCTGTTCTGCAAACTTCAATGGTTACTGGGTCTGCTTCTAAGTGTTGGTGTTGGTTATGACCTTTAAGGTCTTTAATGACATAGATCCAGACTACTGTCCTGCTAGAACAAGTCTGTCCTACACATGCTTTGGATCCCGTCAGTCAAATAACTCTCTCAGGATCCAGAAGTGCCTTCTCTGTGCAGTGCCCATCCTTTGGAACATGTTAACCTTTAAGGTAAGATCTGCCCCCCCCCCATCTTCTCACAAGCACCTGAAGACCTGACTCTGCTGATTGGTCTGGGGGCCAAATGGGGGAGTTTCATACTGGAGATGGCTGCTGGATTGAGGGCAGACTCTGCCTTCCACTTCTTGCTCTCTACTCTCCACCCATCCATCTTTTTGGTTATCATATTGATGTAGTGTTATTGTGTTATTTTTCATTGTTTATTTTATGGTTCTATTATTTTACTAATTTTACTAATTTCTAAATTCTGCATTTCAGTTCTCAGATCAAAAAATATCCACAACAACTGTATAACATTTTTTTTCTCTTTGTATAAGAAAGCAGAGAAAAATTGTAAGAAAAAAACGTCAAGCTTTCCTGTTCATGAGAAAAATGATGAAAATAAGGTTTAACATCTTTTTTAAATTGACAAATTGACATGGAAATAAAACAGAACTTGCGTTTGAGAAAGAATGCAAGTGTTATAAGCAGTGCAAAGAAAAATCATACAGCTTCAACTGTCAGTAAACTCTACTCTTCTAATGTAGTGCAACCTGTATCATGAAGGGTACTAGAAGTGGGTAGTTGACACAAAGAACTTTGGCAATGAAAATAGGATGAAGCCAAAGCTGAACAAAGGGAGTAGACAGACATTACTAATAAATAAACTGTTGAAAACTAAAGCAGAGGACTTTATGCCACAGAAGATGTTTTGTACCTTATTTTCTTTCTGTAAATCAGCTTTTTTCTAGTTCTATTCATTTTTCTATAGAAAAGCATCTGTATGAAATATATTGCAAAAAATGGTCAGGTAGAGAAAAAATGAACTACTAAGTGCTTTACTGTAATATGCATGCGAGTAAATTTAGTATAGGGAAAAAAGGAAACATAATACGCCGATAGTCATTTGGACAGTAGAGTTTATTAGAAATATCTTCATTCTTCGGTGAATTCACATTAAAATATGCTGAAGGCAGCTCAATCAACATTTGATATCCTGCCATTACAACAACTTCCAGTTAAAAACTAGTTCATGATCAGGCAGAGAACTGTGAATGTAGCAGAAAAAAATTACAAACTAAAGCAGTTCCCTTAAAAATAAGTTGATCCTGACAAATGAACACACATTCTAAGCAAAGGAGAAAAAGATGTAAGAACAAAAAAAATTCCTCCCTATTTTTGAGAGAGAAATTCAAAATGTAATACTCAAAGTGTGACAAGATAAACAAAATGGTATAAAGTTACATATTATTGTTCCTTGCAAGTTTTAAAACAAGACATTTATAGGCTAACTTTTCCTGTTTCTGGAACCATGTGTTGCCTCTATGAGGGATGTCTGGTAGAGTGCATGGGGTCTGGAGGAGAGGAGTGGCAAACAATAAAACATGTTGCAGTATAAATCCTGCCCTTATGTAATTGGCTGTGATGCCATGATAGCATGTGTTTTGCCAATTTGGCATGGTGTTAGAAATATATAACAATTTCAGTGAATGAGGTATTCACATAAATATATGCACAAATGTATGAGCAAAAGTATACGGGCATCTGAACATGTGGAACACTCATCAAGACCTTGGATATTCACATGAAGGCTGGCACACATTCTGGCAGAGGGCCTGGCTATCTTTTGAGCTCTGGGAATTTCTCAATGTGTACATGGAGTGGGTTAATTCAAGCCCTCTTATGCCATAGGCACATTACAGGAAACCTGGTATTTGGAACTCAAAAAGTATATAATATTATTAATAAAAATGTGGTCATGAATAAAAAGGTGGCATGATTTTTGATAAATTAAAATAAGTCTGAACCAGAATACCTGACCTAAAACCAATTAAGCTGGAAAAGACTAATTTGAGTAAATTTTATCCTACTGAAGAAATAAAACCAAAAACAAATTAAGAAAGTCAACTAACTTAACTAATTTGTAGACTGAGCTGAGTTGCTTTGGAAAACAAGATCAACTATCTTGTTCAATAATATAAGTTAAAATACGGCAGATGGTATATTATACCAAGAATGTTATTTTCTGAAAAAGCTGAGCACCTAAATGTAAGAGACCACAATCTTGCAGTACCAATGAGGCTTCTATGTTCCATGTGCACAAAGGTCCCCAGTGTCTTCCTATGGTGCACACTAGATGTGATGTGTTCACCTGGAACATTTTCCTTCCAAAATGAGAATAAATAGATTGCATGAGTAAGAAATTTTGCATCATAATTCATATTGTAAGAACCCTAATTATTTGATATATCAAGTTCCAGAATTTTGAGAAACACCAAACAGTGATTATTTCTTTCACATGCTGATACTGTGACCTATATAAAATAATATTCTTCTTTCATGAACACTAGTTTGGGGAGTTGTATTGCATCTCTTGCACATTAGGCACACATCCAATATTAGGTCTAACCTAACACACATATCACATTTGGCTCTTACCTGTGAAAACAAGCTTTGGATTCTGCATAACGAGGCTGTGTAACAGTATAGGCAACAGTTATTCTACTGAAAGAACTAAATAAATTCAACATTTTCACATTTCTTAGTAGTCTCCATAATCTTCTGCTATGGTTTATTTTTTAAAAATGTAAAAAATAATTAAATAATACTCAAAATATCCACCATGAAGATTTATATTCTGATGTAAACAATTTCTACCATTTAGAGCTCTAGAATCATATTACTGATATTGTAAATAATTTTTCAAAGATTGAGGCAAAGGTAGAGTTTCTATATCATGCAGCCGTTCTCGTCCCAGAGCAAAGCGAATTGATCTTCGACACAGATCCATTAAAGGTAGAGGTTCAGCTGAAAATGAAACAGAAACATAATGTCATCATTTTCATTTTCTTATCCTCATTAATAATAAAAATGTAATAGTAAATGAATAATATCACTTTTAAAGTAGATATTTTAAATAATGCATATATGATGAACTCATCATTACAGAAGAAATCTGCTGTCATGGAAGTAAGTAGGGAAAATAAGCTAAGGATAAGTATTAGGTATGTTCACTGTTTTGAATTATTTATTAAAAAAATAGCAGATTATATATAAAATTGCAGGAGCCAATCTGAGTTGGTCACTGGGATCAGACATTTTGTCTTTAGAGTTTTCGGACTTGTGCTGGAGCTCCCATCCTCAGGGAACTTCGAGCCCAAAAAGTCGAAAAACAAAATCTCTGGTCCCGGTGATCGACCCAGATTGGATCCTGCAACATTATCCTGGAACATGTATATTCGCCTTCATTTGTATATATAAAATAAAATTAAAATATTGTCTATTTCTTGGAGCAATACACCTATAAGCATTTAAATTAAGAAAAACACACATATACAATTGATTTTCAACCTAGGATTTTCAACCTAGATAGAAATCACTTGAAGACTTAAAATACAATACTCTCTGCAGCTGGACTGAGATGCCTGACCTTTAAATGTTATATTTGTTCCCATTTAGGAAAAGAAACTAAAATGTAATTGAACTTCTAAAAGAACCTTTTCAGTGAAGGGTGACTTTCCACTGAGGTGCTGAAGTAAACAGAAATGACACTTTCTCTCTGACATCTCAGCTAATAAACAGATTTTGTTCATTTGAAAGACATTTTTTTCTTAAATAGCTCTAAAACAATTGCAAGAGTATCAGAGACAAAAACATTCAATACTTGAACCATAATTTTGTTTTAAAGCTTGCTTTCATTTCAGTACCTGTCCCCTCCCTCCCGAAATAAAAGGTTTTTTTAGCTTTTACAAACAAGGAATAAAGTTGTGCTATTAATTGCTGATTTTGTAAGAATCTATTGCTAACTGGCCTGGGTAGTTCTCACATCAAACACTGTATGACTTGGGTGTGCAAATTGAATGTAACCACTTAATATTTTTATGGTTCTCAAGTTAAATGTTCAAACATTTTTATCTACATGCAAATCCTTAAGATTTATAAAGAGCTTTATTGTGCTTAAAGACAAAACACAGAGGAAACATTTCATTATGGGGGGGGGGGAGAATATGTCATAGAACACACTGCACTTTCAGCATTCTGGGACAGAACAAGACAGTTAAAATGTCAAAATGTTCTTGATATATAAAGCTCTTTCAGACCCATTGTAGGTAACAGTTCAGTAGTTAATGTTTTGCCAACTATTGTACCAGAATGCTGAACTGCACTTCCTAGTAATTAAAACCAAAATTAAATACAGACCAAGAATTGATTTTTACAAGTTACTACTTGTTAGTAACTCCAAAATTAGCAAATTTATATATATAGCAACCATTTGTGATTTACCTTGTGACATTTTTAGTAGATTCTTACAAAGTTGTTAGCACAACCACTCCCCAGCAAACAGATAAAAAGCAGTTATCAAAAGGAGACATTAAAAGTAGCAATTACCATTATCTCTCAAATGTGTTTAATACCTTTTTTTCCCCAAGTGTTGGACAGGATATTTGTTTTAAAACAAAAAAAGTTCTGTGTTAGCCATAATTAGAGTCAAAGTGTTATGTAGGTTTATATAAAATATATTTAAAAAACCAAATTTGATAGAAAACAGAACACTCCAGGGAAAACACTCATAATTATATTTCTCTATTATATGTACATAGGGAAAGTTGCACAGATCCTAGATTAGTGTCAACCTTCCTAAATAAACCAGATGGGAAACATGAATGGATGAATTAATTCTATTTTATGATAGGGCTACATTAACAGAATCTTGCCAGTCTCCACAATACAAACTTCCCACCATCGCTTCCTAAGTTTCTTTCCTTGTTAATTCTTTGAGGGCATCTCCCTTCTTTGCTTGATTGTTTCCAAGGAGCATCTCTTCTCCTCATTCCCCAAAGTCATTCCATTACAACTAGTGTCTGGATGCTATTTTAGACTGAATACAGAGTACTTTTCTACTTTGTTTTTAGCTTTCATTGATGTTCCACCTACAGACATCTCAGGATACTGAACAACTTAATTATCGGAATGTGCTTTATTTGGAGTTGTCCTTTCATGTGATCCAGAAGGTACAGAGAGTACAAAATGCCATTGTTGCCTTTATATGTATTCCATCCCTGCCATGTAACACTATTTTTGAACAAGCTGCACTATGTGAGATTTAAGATTTGGCTTTTGAATAATTGAGATCATGATATCTAAGCGACTGCCTTATTCTATTGACATCTGTCTGACTATTTTGAATCTCATTAGAGGGCCTCTTGGAAGTACTGCATCTTGAGATGTTTATCTGATATCAACCTACTGCAACCTAAGTAATAACCCTTACTTAGTTTGGATTTTTTTTTAAAATTGATATGCCAAAAATATTCTTATAAGGTATTTATATAATCATTTCAGTGAATCATTCTAATTTAAATCTACTGCAATCTCTATTTTCTCTAAATGTGAACTATCTATTATCTTCCTGCTACCTGATAGATAAATTGACAAAATTTCAGTTCTTTTTAGAACTCATTGTTAAAATGCTTTAATAAAGATACTGCTGAATCATCTGAAATGATGTCAGTATGCTGGCATTTATTTACTGATACATTTTAAAAAAGATTCTCTGTCAATTCCGTGTTATCTACTTAGCAGATAAATATATTGCTTTTTTCCCATTCTGAAAAGCTTCCTTGTATTTTTTGTGTTTGTTTGTATATTTTTCTATAAACACTACTAGTTTACCAGCTACATTTCTCTAATTACATACAGTAAAAAGCATTGAAGTAATTCTTAATCAAGACCTGATCTCGTGAATAACCAATCTTTGTATATGCTCTTTTTCCATATAAACTTTTAAACAGACTTTCTCCTCATTTAGATTTTTCCTTAGAAAAAAACAGGTCATACTTCAGTTAAACAGTTATGAATATCCTGTAATCTAATGCTGAAAAAAGTTCTAAGGTGAGAAAAAAAAAAGTTTTTAATAGTTGTCACAATCATTCCAAAGCAAGAATGGGCAGCAGAATTTGAGAAGGATATGGAGTGGAATGCATTTAATACAAGTACTTCCATTCCTCACTATAGGTGGAAATAGGACTGGGACAATGATGATCTGCCCTGAAAGAGTGGGACAATATATCTTGAAGGAAGTAAGGGTGGAAGAAGACAAGAATGTTTTTATAACTGGAAGAAGAAACATCCATAACCTGTGCTATGCTGATGACAATAATCTGATAGCTGCAAATCCAGGTGTCTGCAACCTATAAAGTGAAAATTGGACTTTGAAGAAGCAGGTTAGAAAGTGTGTTGGTAGTTTTGAATTTTTCTGTTGGAGAAACCTTCTGATAATATGTACAAATGGATCATTGAAGAAAAAACGTTTTCACTCAAGGCACAAATGATCAGGCTCAAATTTTCCTACTTTGGACAGATTATATTATGACCTACCTCTCTGAATAAATCTTTAATGCTGGAAATACGGAATGAAAGAAAAAAAGAGGATGACTAGTAACAAGGATTTAATTAGAGCAATGATGAGTGCACTGCCGGAAGACCTATAAGACCAAGTTGGGAACAGTACCTTTTGGAGAAAAATTGATAAGTGATTGCTAAGAATTGATAAGTGATTGCTAAGAATTGATAATTTAATAACTTGTCATCATCATCATCACTGGAACTGTATTACCAAAGTTAGGAAGGTCAGTGTAGATGGAAACTAAAGGCTGCTAAAAACAGAATTAAGGATCGTCATTCTTTTTATATTTCTTTTGTAAAATTAGTTAGAATTGGTTCCAGCAAATCTTTTGGAAGCTTAATGCCATTTACACTGATGGCAATAATGGGAGAGCAGATGCCTGAGGATCATTGACAGGAGAAAAAGAACACAATCATCTACTCAGAGAGATGAGAGAGCCACCAGATAATTTTTCAAATATGGTACAAAGCCTATTAAAAAAGTGCCATAGTTTATAAGTCTGCAGCTCTCAACACTTGCTGACACTATATGGCTTGCAGATGAGAATAATATTTATGACAAACCTGTTTGGTAAATGTGTACATATAAATACATAAAAGTGACCTCTGCCATCTTTACAAGACAAAAAAAATGGATTTGTACACCTTTAATATGAGAAAACCTACGATTAGAAGAGAGTTAATCTAGTTAATCTAAAAAGTTTTGAAGAAACATGAAAACATAGAAACATAGAAAATTGATGACAGAAAAAGACCTAGTGGTCCATCAAGCGTATCCTNCTTGGAATAAATTTTATGAGGTAAGTTTAAAAAATAATTCAGAGTAAATCTGTGTAAATCTGATTTGATCAAACCTTTTAATTGAATCAGAAAGTCAAAGGAAATTATTAAATCAGGTGTATTTCTATTGATTATACATATTGATTTAAAATATCAAAAAGGAATCACCTTAATTCACTTTATTAATAGAGATCAAATTAATAGATCAAATTGAAAACAATCGATAGCCTTCTATCAGATAATAAAAATAAACTGCAACTTTGGCAAAGAAGTTACAGTATATAAAGAGTAAATTCATGCATCATTTTCTGGGGAGAGGCAGATGGACTTCATTTTAACACTGCTTACTCTTAGCCTGTTTCTAATAAATCATGAGTGGCTACGTTTTTGCCAATAATATCACATTGTTTTGTTGATTCAATATCCCATTTAAAGAAATGGATATTAAAGAGCTCCGAAAGAATATCTCTGAAATGAGGACATTAAAATGGCAAATTCAGTTAGTTCCAGTGTAAAATGATGTGCATACTTGTAAAACGTTTACATGAATGAGTGAGCAATGGCTAACAAAACGGGATCTCTGGATCAGAATATGTAGTTGAATGGAACATGGGTCCCAGTAT